GTGTCAAAGCAGTTTGGAGAGAAAAACAAAGTAAAGAACAAAAAAAAGAAAACGATTAATCGATTACTAAATTAGTCATCGATTATTTTAATAATTGATTAGTCGTCGATTAATCGTTGCTTGCAGCCCTACTATTCAACAAAAAATAAGTTAAAATCATATCCAATTCAGATTAAAATCCCATTACAGTCATTTCATTTTATTACAATACAGTATATTCACATACATTATGAAATGCCAAATATTATATATTATCTATGAAAGTCTGGTCAAAAACACCAAGATTCTTTACATTAGTACTGAATGCAACATTTAATCCAGTCATAGAAAATGAAAGACTGCAAATTTCTTCAAGCCTGTCAGTAGTCCTGTTTCTGTTCACTGAGTTATGCTCATTAGTTACAGTAGAAGCTCCTGAAGCCAAACTTATACAGCGTGATAATGCATCATCTTCCTCTGCAAATGACATTAACACTTCCCACTGTTGAATACTTTAGAATCTCAGTATGTGTTAACATTACTGATAACTGATATTACTGGTAAAAGTTAGTTTCTTTAATGAAAGTTGTGAAAAGTGTCTAATAGTAACCATTAAATCCAAACAATTTTCTTTGAAGCTGAGACCATAATGGTTAGTTTGCCATTCTCATATTCTGTCACATTCTGCTGCATGTGAAGTTTTAAATTAAACCAATTCAAGAAATCTCTGGTTAAATGGCCACAATCGTTTGGGAATCAGACAGCACAGAGGTGTTTTTTCAACTTGACAGTGGATGTTTTGGGGGATCTGTGTTTTAGTGTGAGATGTTTTCACCTTCAGCTTTAATCGTTTAATTGTTTTTTTGTGAGGTTTGTGGTTCTTTGGGTGAATCCTTAACATATTTCTGTAGAACCTGTTCTTTTTCCATTCTTGTTCTTTGGTTCAATCACATCAGCAGGTGTTTTGGGGCTTTTTATATTTTTTGTTGTGTGTGTGTGGGTTGTTGTGAACGGTCTATTTGCTGCTCTGGCCTTTTTGACTGTGCTGCCTTTGAACATTAGTCGTTCTCATAAAAATCATTCATCTTTTACTTGTCACTTCCTGTTTCCTTGTACTTATAATGAATCTGACTCTCCTCATAGGGAGTATCGACCGAGCTCGGAGCTCGTCCTTTCATGAGGTTGGTCACCAGCGTGAGATGGAGATGAGGGCTGCAGCTGAGGAGTCGTCCAACAGCAGCAACAGCGTCGCAGGTAGCGGCAGCACGGTCCTGCAACGCCTCCTGCAGGAGCAAATCAACAGAAACTATGTCCTGCAACAACAGCAGCAGTCTGGAGGAGGTGGTGGAGCAGCAGGGGGAGGGGGAGGAGGTTATATGGTCCAGGGACAGGTAAGCCCTTCTGATGATCACTCCATAACTGCCCACATTGCACGTCAAGAACCTCAGGGACAGGAACTGCAGACGGACAATGGCCTTGAGAAGCTCGGCTCCCTCAGAGTCGGAGGAGGAGGTGGGAGCAGTGGAGGAGGAGGCTGTGTCGGGACCTGTGGTGGAGGAGGTGGAGGCAGCAGTGGTAGTGGAGGTGGTGGGAGCAACCAAGGCCAGTGCCCAAACCCAGAAGACCTCCCCACGTATGAAGAAGCCAAAGTACAGTCCCAGTACTTTCGTGGCCAAGGGCCTCCTCCCCAGGCTCAGCAGCAGAACAGCTCACCCCAGCAGCCCCCACTGCCCACCTCGGTGAGTGCCGCCTATTATGTGACTGGGCTGGGCGGTGCTAAGGTACGTACCGAGGGTCGACCAACACTGCAGCGAGTCAGCGGCGCAGGAAAGGTGCACCAGGACGATGGACTGAAGGACCTGAAGCAAGGCCACGTTCGGTCTCTGAGTGAGCGGCTGATGCAGCTCTCTTTAGCCACCAGTGGTGTGAAGGCCCACCCCCCAGTAAGCAGCACCCCCCTGTCCCCCCAGCTGCCTCTTCCTGGGCAGTCCGGTGACTACTACAAGTCCCCGCATCGAGGCCCTCCTCCAGACTACCCATATAAAGGAATGGGTTCTTCTGGCAAACTGCAGGACTCTGCAGGTCACTTTTACCAAGAACTGAGAGGGAGGGAACACTCCAGGGAGGTCCCAAATGTCCGATACCAGCCCCCACCCGAGTATGGCTCATTCAGGTAAAGAACACACACTTTTTAATGTAGTCACTGTTTATAGCTGCAGAGAAAGGTTAACATGTGATATTTCCACTCTCTGCATGTTGCAATAAGACCAGGGCATGGTTTGCAGTGTAAGTGATGAGGACGGATCCTGCTGGGCTGGTTCCACACCAGTTTACCTCACAGCAAACAGGCGTCTAACAGTTATAAATTCCACAAAGTTTAATTCATCAGGCCAGGACATGTTGGGACATGAAATGTTAATCTTTGATGACAGATCCTGTGGGAACCAAAGGCAGTGATCTTTGTTCTATTTAAACATTTGATGCTGGTGTTTTTCCCGAAATGACAGTAAACAGGTAATTACAGTTTGGGCTCAACTTGTTCCACCTGTTCAAGCTTTTGTTTTAAAATTTCCATATACTGTAGAACCCCAATTCTAAAAAAAAGTTGGGGCGTTGTGTAAAATGTAAATAATCATAGAATGCAATGATTTACAAACTTAGCAAACCTGTCTTTTTATCCACAATGAAACATTGTAAACATACAGTTAAAACATGTTCAAACCAAGAAATGGTACATTAAAAAAAGAATATGTTAAATTTGAATTGTATGGCAGGAACACATGTTGGGACAAGGCAACAAAAGGCTGTAAAAGTAAGTAGCATGAGTAAAAATCAATTATATAGACAACAGGTCAGTCAGAGGACTGTGTAGAAAAAGAGAATTTTAGAGCAGCTAAATCTTTTAGAAGATGACAGATCTCACCAGTCTCCAAGAAATATCTAAAATTAGTGAACCAATCTGAAGAAAAATATCCTCAATAAAAAATTAAAAAGACCTTAAATAACCCATCATCTATACAGTTCATAATATTATCAAAAAAATCAAAAAGTGATTTTCAGACCCTCAGGAGCCACTGTATTAAAACAGTCCTGGTTTTGTTCTGGACCTCACTGCTTGGGCTCAGGGTCACTTCCAGAAATCATTACGTGTAAACACAGTTTACAGCAACACCCACAAATGCTGGTTAAAGCTCTATCATGCAAGAAGAAGCCATGTCAACGCCATCCAGAAATGTCACCATCGTACGTGTCACGTTGTACGGATTGTCCGTAAATTACACAGATATTTTTTTCAAAGTCACCAATTTTTTTCAAAATCTCAGCTCCAAATTTGTTTCATGTCTCAGAGCCTGTAGAATGGAAAGAAAAAAATTTAAATTAAAAACTATCTTCCAACACGCTCTGCTACTAGAAATAAGTTCCCCTCCTCAGGACAGTTATCTCAGCTCCACAGTTTTTCTTTCCCTGCGTCCGACAGTCCGATGAACACCCCCACCCACAGGAACAGACATGTATGCACCTTCTTCTCTGAGCCAAAGTTCATTTAAAATGGACTGAGGCAAAGTGGAAAACTGTTCTGAGGTCAGCCAGCCTAATATTTGAAATTCATTTCAGAAACCATGAACCACATCCTTCATACTACAGAAGAGAAGGACTATCTGGCCTGTTATTATGGCACAATTCAAAAACCTGCCTCTCTGATGGCGTGGGTGTGCATTAGTCCCTCCGGCATGGTGCTCTACCTATAAACATACAGGTTCACAATACTTCACAGTGATGAATATGATCCATCCAACCTATTTGAGATGTGTTGTTTGTGCAGTGAAATGAAAAAAAAAGTCTGTAATTTCTTAGTTTAAACATATGTTATGTTCGCTGTGTTTGATTGTGAATAAGATACAGGCTTAAAAAAATTGCAAATCATTGCATATCCTGTTTTAAGATATTTAGGTAAGGGTACCATCATTTCTGTCTAGTCCTGTTTCATGAGTTGCTGTTTTTTTTAATCATGGATGAAAAACAATGTCTGAATTTCATTTGTTCATTTTTATAGAATTCTTATTTACTATTACTTTTGTGAAATTCAACTTTTTTCTGTGACCATTGTGGGTTTTATATATAATGCACTAAACATAATCAGACTAAGGAGATGTAATCTGTCTTATAAAGCAGATGCACAGTTTCTATATGTTGGGTTGTATTTGTACAAATTCCTCTGACAGAGAAAGAAAAAAAATCAGTATCCTGGGGATGTTTAGCTTGTGCTCTGGTACATTGTATTAGTACTCTGAATGCAATCAGTCTGGGCAGGGCTGGGCGGTATGACCTCAAATTCATATCACGGTATAAACTGAATCCCTTCACGGTAACGGTATATATCGCGGTAGAAAATTATCATAAAAAGTAAAGATAATGTAATTTTTAGAGCATTTAACTGCAATCTTAAGCAAACCCAGCATTTTTGGTTTAATATCTGCCTGCCAAACAATGAGCTTCCACCTGCTATCAGCTGCTGCTCTGTTGCGCGCTCATCTTCATCATCTTCATCATCTTCATCGTCAGAGCAGAAGCCGACTTTACATTAGCAAGATGGATTTATGGCTGAACGAACGTCCACGTCTTTTTTATAATCATCTCTGTGAGTAACAATACTTAAAAAACAAGTTTTTCTCCGACAATTTGGTGTGAAAAACTATAGTTGCAGCGAGAGGAGAGGAGAGGAAAGGAAAGGAAAGGAAAGGAAAGGAAAGGAAAGGAAAGGAAAGGAAAGGAAAGGAAAGGAAGAGATTATGATCCCGCAACACGATGTAACTTTCCTACAGCGGGAGGGGGATATTTATCCTCTCTATACGTGTTTTAAAACGCTATAATTTCTTCATTATATTTCAAACTCCTCCTGCTCAGTTGTCTCTGCACTCACAGCCCTGTTGACACAAGTGCGATGACGATAGGACGGTAGAGCGTAAATTTCTACTGTAGGCCAAATTCATACCGTTTCTACCGTCTACCACATATACCGCACAGCCCTWAGTCTGAGCCATGCTGAAGGTCCACTTCCTGACCTGACTTAAAATCAGTTTTTAAACAGAGTTGTTGAAATTAGGCTCAGCTGCTGGCTCATTTATTAAATTCTTATTAAACAGAACAGAATTACTGAATGATATTATGTTTTTGTTATTGTTTAATTTGAACCAGATTTCAGTCAGTGGAGATACAGTCTTGACAGAATCTCTAGAATCCTTCCATGTAAACATTTAGCTGATGTCTCCTCAGATCCAGTAAGGAGGGTTCTGTTCACTACCAGAGACCCCTGCACCAACACAGCCCCACGTCCTCTGTCACTTCCGTTGGCTCTCTGTCTCGTGCCCAGTCCTCGACCCTCAGCAGCATCCTCTCTGCTTCCCATTCCTCACATCCCTCCATTCCTCACCAACAACCTCAGAGCCACGGAGACACTTTCCCCACGATGGGCCCTCGTAGTCCCCAGGGAGCAGGCTCCCACCCTGTGGCAGAGCCCTTCGCCCCAGGACCTGGTCATCAGACTTCTCAGAGGGGTCAGACATTCCCCATGGACCCCTACGGCTCGTCTCCACGGTTTCACCATCAGCAGCACACTCAGTGTCAGCAGCAGCCCTTCCAAGTGCCTGCACCTCTGCAGCCCCAGCTGTCAGTTCAACCTGGACACTTTTCTCTGCCACAGTCCTACCCACAGCTGCAGGGGGGGGAGCCGTATGCTATGATGTCTCGGGCCCAGCACATGGTTGATGTACTGACAGAAGAAAACAGGATGCTGAGGCAGGAAATGGAAGCATGTCGGGAGAAAGTCACAAAGCTGCACAAGGTAATATTTTGATTTAATAATGCTTAGAAACTTACGTTTTTATTGTTTATTGAAGTGGGCTGTGGCCTGTACATAAAGATGCAGCGGGTAAAATAAGTATTGAACACGTCAACATTTTTCTCAGTAAATATATTACTAGAGGTGCTAATGACATGAAATTTTCACCAGATGTTGGTAACAACCCAAGTGATCCATACATACAAAGAAATCAAACCATAAATGTCCAGAAATGAAGTTATTTGTAATAATMTGGAATGGCACAGGGAAAAAGTATTGAACACACTTACTGAAATTTATCTAATACTTTGTACAAAAGCCTTTGTTGTCAATGACAGCTTCAAGACGCCTCCTGTATGGAGAAACTAGTGGCATGCATTGCTCAGGTGTGATTTTGYCCCATTCTTCCACACAAACAGTCTTCAAATCTTAAAGGTTTTGTGGACCTCTTCTATGAACTCTGATCTTTAGTTCTTTCTATAGATTTTCTGTTGGATTCAGGTCAGGTGATTGGCTGGGCCATTCCAGCAGCTTTAGTTTCTTTCTCTGAAACCAACTGAGAGTTTCCTTGGCTTTGTGTTTGGGCTCATTGTCTTGCTGAAATGTCCAGCCACGTTTCATCTTCATCATCCTGGTAGATGGAAGCAGATTTTTATCAAGAATGTCTCTGTACATTTTTCCACTCATCCTTCCCTCAATTATTTGAAGTTTGCCAGTACCATATGCTGAAAAACAGCCCCACACCATGATGTTCCCACCTCCAAACTTCACTGTTGGTATGGTGTTTTTGGGCTGATGTGCAGTGCCATTTGACCTCCAAACATGATGTGTATTCTGGCATCCAAACAGTTCAATGTTGGTCTCATCTGACCAGACTATATTCTCCCAGTATTACACAGGCTTGTRTAAATGTTGTGCAGCAAACTTTAAAGGAGCTTCAACATGCTGTTTCTTCAGCAGTGGAGTCTTGCGTGGTGAGCGTGCATACAGGCCATGGTGGTTCAGTGCATTACTTATTGTTTTCTTTGAAACAATCGTACCTGCTAATTCCAGGTCTTTCTGAAGCTCTCCACAAGTGGTCCTTGGCTCTTGGACAACTCTTCTGATAATTCTTTTCACTCCTCTGTCAGAAATCTTGTGAGGAGCACCTGGTCGTGGTCAGTTTATGGTGAAATAATGTTCTTTCCACRTCTGAATTATGGCCCCAACAGTGCTCACTGGAACCTTCAGAAGTTTAGACATTCTTCTGTAAKCGATGCCATCATTATGCTTTGCAACAATAAGGTTGTGAAGGTCTTGAGAGAGCTCTTTACTTTTACCCATCATCAGATGGTTCTTGTSTGATACCTGGTCATCATTTGGGACTGAACCAGCTGATATTAACTTGCKCTGACAAGGGGCAGGCTTGCTTTCAAATTACTGAGAGAGTTCAGCTGGTGTCTTGGCTTTCCATGTCTTTTTACACCTCCCTTTCTTCTTGTGTTCAATACTTTTTCCCTYMGACATTCCACATTATTACAAATAACTTCATTTCTGGACATTTATGGTTTGATTTCTTTGTATGTATGGATCACTTGGGTTGTTACCAACATCTGGTGAAAATTTCATGTCATTAGCACCTCTAGTAATATATTRACTGAGGAAAATGMTGACGTGTTCAATACTTATTTTACCCACTGTATGTAAAACTGTGGTTTGTTACCTGGAGTTACTGTTAAATAGTCTTATTTACATTATACCTCTGTTGGCACAGGAGCTGGCTACCCTACAAAATAATTACACTAAATGTTTGTGAAAATCTGTGTAAAGGTTTTGTTATCTGCTGCATCTTGGTGACATTCACAGAGCAAACAGTATTATCAAACAGCTGGTGTAAACATGCCCATCAGGGTCAGTAAATGTGAACAATCTATTCTCATTCTGCATTAGAAGACAAGATATGAATGTTTTCACCTGTTTGCCACAAAGATAGCAGGTAAAACTGTGACAGAGAGAAGCATGTTTTGTCACAGTGAGCTCCAGGTTTTACAAGCTGAGACACTAATAATCCTGTCAGATAATTACTGTTTGTTAACTTCTGGATGTGATGGACTGTTTGTTAAAATGTTCTGTAATCATAAGGTTTTACATCCCGACTAAACAGCAAGAAAGGATTGGATACACTATAGGGTTTGGCAAAATTGTACRGTGTACAATTWATCGTCAGTGAAACTGTCAACAATTAATTTTCCACTTTAAAATTACTGCAATTCGTGCCAAGAAATGACACATTTTGTGTACGACGTACGATCATCAGGTGGCATGTGAGCCCAATGGTGGAAGGCAGCCTGCAGCAGCTAACCCTACCCCTCCCCCTGCCCTCATCTCTAACCCTAACCCTACGAATTTAATCACCTGAAACTCTGGTATAAACTGAAGAGGAAATCCAGAAAATGTGAACCAAAGCCACATGTTGGCCACATGCAATTTTCTATTAATATTAATATTCAACATTATTGGCTGAATGCCACAATTAATAGTGAAAATGTTTACAATTCAATATTGCCCAGCCCTAATATGCTTTTTAGATTATTTATTCATAGATGCAATAATGTCTGATACTTATCACTGGAAAAGAATTTAATTGAAAATTTTCCTGATAAACATGCCCTGTATTTGTGAAGGCAGCAGATTGCTTTTCTCCTTTTTGTTCTTCCTTCTTCTCTGAGACAAAAACTTGGGCAGCCATCTGCTCCCACTGGCCAGGAGTTGAGAGGTAAACAGAAAACACAGGGTCATCGGCGGTAACAGTTGCAAATACAGAGTGTAGAGAGTGATACAACATGGGGAAATGTGCTCAGTATTCCTCCAGCAGTCCCTGGAGTCCGTGCAGCTTCCCTCAAAAACTGATTGGAACATCATTTTGACAATATATTTTCTCGTGTTTTTTGGCGCAGTTGGAAACGGAGATCCAGCTGGTGTCAGAGGCGTATGAAAACCTTGCYAAGTCCTCCTCCAAGAGGGAGTCCCTTGAGAAAACTATGAGGAACAAGTTGGAGCTGGAGGTTCGCCGTCTGCATGACTTCAACAGGGACCTAAGAGGTAAGAGCTTTGAAACCTGCAACAATAAAACATATCTGTCCTGCAGCTTGGAGTTTCTCCTCAAAGCATGAGGGCCCGAAGAAACTCCCTCTGGATTTTATTTACTCTACTCTCTACACATAAACATGATGCCTATATAAACCACCTTTTTAACTTTACCAGTTTCTGTAAAGGGCTTTGCAGAGTTTCTCATTCACCCATTTACACAAACATCTAGCTTTCTATTAGGGATGGGTACTTTTGACATTTGAATCGATTCGGAACCAATATCCGGTACCTGGGAATCAGTACCGGTACTTAACAGTACCAATTTTCTTTACTTTGTGTGTACTGTATTTTTAATAATAAACTTCTTTTTTAATTTAACATATTTCTCAATATATAAAATTTAACAAATATCAAGACAACATCCAACTCTTTGTATTGTAACACAAGTTTTTTAAACTAATTTCTTTAAGGTGAAAACTCTTGAAAACAACAAGACTGTTTTGTCTAATTGAACAAATTAAAATCCAGCTCCGTGTTTCTATTGATGTCATTTCCCCACTAGAAAAATGTGTGATGGAGGTCCATGGAAGGCAAATACGTTCAGATCAAATAAGCAAAAAAGGATGGAGTTAAAATAAATAAAAGTTCTTCAAGCTACGTTTTGAACATCCAAAACACGTCCAACTCTTCAACTTAGCTGCTTGTTCTCTTTCAGGTCAGACGTGTTCGGACGGTCAGGAAGCTCCTCTGTTGTTTTCCTCTGCTGGTCTCTGTTTAATGGTGGATGAAATAAAGAAAGTGGCGATACTTTCTTTACTTTGAGCAAGCGAACATCGTGCTCACAAGATAATTAATCCACCAGATAATTCAGAGGCGGTCTGTTTGGTGAGTTTTACTCCAGGAGCTATGAGGCTTTAAAGCTACGTTCAGACTGAGCTCTGTTTACTGAACCAGCAGCTGCTGACGTCATTACGCTCTGCTTGATGCTGCGTTCAGGACAAGCATGGAAAACTCACCACTCTTACGCCAATACGGTCGCAATGCTGCGTTCAGGACAAGCATGGAAAACTCACCACTCTTACGCCAATACGGTCACAATGATGCGTTTAGGTACTGAAACGTGGTACCGTTTGATGTTACATGAATAGCCTCTCAGTAGTACCGACGGAATTCGGTCGGTACTTAATAAAGTATCGAATTCGGTACCCATCCCTACTTTCTATCAATATGCAGAACTTTTATACTTTCACTCATACCCCAATAAGCATCCAGGGGTAGACGTAAGGTAATTTCCTGACAAAATCGGGTTGTCCTTTATAAAAAATGTCAAAAAATCTGAAGAAAAAATGTAATTTGATAAGAATACTGGCTGTATCTTAATTCATGGGTTGCAGCCGACATTGGCTACATCCTACCTGGGCCGTAGGCCACAAGTGTAGAATAACGGCATAAATGGCATTGAAATGAGACAGTCTAGTTTACAGATGACGTATGCTTGTGTGACCATGCACTTCCCCGTTACCACGGCATTACATTTCATATCACATGCCTTCAGTTGTCTTTTCACTGTATCATTTTTTAAATTAATAATTTTGATTTAGCTCCAGTATCAGTGCTTGTAATTGCATTTGATTTAGCATCTCATTGCAACAAAGGTTTCATCAACTAAGTTGCCAAACATATATTTAAAAATAAAATCTTCAGTCWTTGATTAATTTCCAAACTGCCATGAAAGAAAATAAACTGTCTTGTAAAGAAAAAAAAACTCAGCTATTTTCATTTTTCTGTTAAGTTTGCTGACGGCGCAATGGATCCTGGGATATTGCCGACCACATAGGATACTCAGGTGCAGCCTACATTTTCAGGGGTTTGTCGGCCACATGAGTAGTCGCCCAGGAATTAAGTAACTCATCTTCTACAAAGTTTGTAAATAGGAGTATACTGTGTACATGACCTAAGTAATTACACATTTAGTGTTCTCTAATAAAGTGTTGATGTTGTAAGATGACTTTAACCTGCAAACATTTGTTGGACTCTGTATATAATGGAGCCTTGTGTTTTATCACTGGTCTTAGAGCCCTTACCCACAACTGTCATCTGTATACCAGTACTGGATGGACTGCCTTATCCACCTGCAGATTTGTTTATTGGCATAATCTTGTTTATAAAGTAATTTTGGGTTTACTTCCCCCTTACTTCCTGTCCTATATCCGGAGGTCATTTTCTTCGCTCGGATGAGTTTATTTTATTAACTGTACCTAAGGTTTGCACTGATTATGGCAAAGGTTCCTTCTACTTTGCTGCTCCCTCAGACTGGAATCTACTGCAGAAAAACTTGAAGTTGAAGGAGTTGGTGTCTTTTAATGTTTTTTTGGGCCATTCTTAAACATAAAACATTTGTATATGAGACATTTGTTTGTAAATGTTTTAACTGATATTGTACTCTAATAGAGTAGTTCGACTCTGGGACTCAACTTGTTGAATCTAAAGTGGCACAAGGCCCACTCAGACAATAAGAATTTACTGATCAAAGTGATTATTGATCTAAATCTTGGTTTAATTTTTATTATTTTTGCATTATGTAATGCACTTACTAATAAGCAAAGACCTTGTCAAATAAATCATAAGACGTGATTATAACAAACATTTACATACCTGCCAACATTTGCTGGTGGTAACGAAGGACACTTAAACATTTATACTCACACCAGCAGTGTAAAGTGATCCTAAGGGTCCAAATGCATGCCCCTCAGAACTTTTAGAACAAATCTACCTAACTAATGCATTTGAAGCCATGTGAAATGCATTTTTCTTAATACTTAGAAGAGAAAACCTAAAATAGTTGTTATATTAGGTTGGGGCCGTGCATTGTAGGAGGAGATGTGGTCYATCAGCTTTTGCGCCTCTGCTTCAAAAATGACCATCAAGTGATTTTTAATGGTTTTGTTGTGCACCTGAACACACAATGTTATGGTGGAACTTCTTGTGAGGAGCTTTCAAGTTAATCCAGGAAACACTGAAAGCTTTCACCTGCAGTCTGACTCAAAGCTGAAAGCAGTCGCTGTCAGACAGCACACAGTCACTGTGCTGTGATAAACCTTTTTAACTTGGTTGTTGACCGGACTGGGATCTGGTTGTCCAAACAAAAATAGGTTGTCTCTGAAGACCTAAAGGCCCTTGTGTCGACCGCTGAGCATCATGGGAGTAACGTGATGTCCAAGGACACTTCATCAAGCTGCCAACAACCTTGGTTTCGCAACTCAAAGCAGCCACCTCGACAAGTGAGGCACTGAACATGGCCCACTCAGACTCGATGTCCCCCTCCTCAGCTGGGATGTGCTTAAAGTTTTCTAGGAGGTTTGAGTTGAAGATCTTACTGAAGGGTTCTTCTGTCAGGTGGTCCCAGCAAACCCTCACTACACGTTTGGGTCTACAGGGTTAGTCCGGCATCTTCCCATGCCTTTTAAAGTTTTTACATCAAAATCATTAAGCTGCTCTTCATTCTTTTGGTCACAAGATGGCTCCAAAGAGTTGTTGAAAACTTTTGAATAATTAACCCTTTTCGAAAAAAAAATCCTTCAGTGCTTCAGAAAAGCTTCATTTGCTCATCACTAAGGAACATCAAACTGCTTGGAGATGATCTTATAGTCTTTACCTTTTACATGCTGCTTGGTTATTTTCTTTCAAATCCCCTGAATCACTCTCTTCTCAGCTTTCTATGGTCCACTTTTAGTGTACACACCATGATATGAAACAGTACTGTGGCTACTTTTAATAGTACTGAAGTTTTGTTCGCGCTTGTATCAGAGAAGAAAACATAAAAAAATGTTCCAAATAATTTTCAATATGTATGCTTCCACAATACGGAGAACAAAGAGTGCCCTGTCTGCCACTTCTCAAAATAAAAAAATAAAATACAGCTTTTTTTAGCTTATTGCCCAATCTTTTACTGTTATTTATTTTACTTTGGGTATGTTATTTTGAGATTGTAGTTTAACTGTAGTTAAATAAATTTGGATTGAATTGGGGTACTTGTTACGTACTATATGCACTAGACCAGATAAAAACTTTAAACAAGATTAAAGTTGACTATTAATGAACAGATGACAGAAATGTGTGAAACAGACTGAAGTGATGTTTTTCTTTTTAAAGTATTTAAACAATTATTTTTTATTTCTAAGTGACTGAATGAAGTGTTCTGTTCTTCTGTTTTAAAGAGCGCATGGAGACTGCTAATAAGCAACTTGCCTCTAAAGAGTGTGATGGCTCAGAAGACAACCGTAAAACCATCTCCCAGCTGCTGACACAGAGTGAGTTGAACACACAAACATACTGCAGCCATGGTTGTTTCAGCTGGAATCCAAACGTCTCACTTCATAGTGTATGTTTTAATGCAAAAAAAAAAAAATTAAATCTAGTGTTTAAAGAGTAACTTACCCCAAAATTAACTTTTTTTAGCTGATAAACTGTCTAGAATGTGTCTAAAATGTTATATAGTACTGTTTCTGTGCTA